AGATGATCAATCAAAGGGTTTTCAACNTTAAAAGTACCTTTTCCGATGGATTTTTGAGAGGCATCCGTAGTTTTACATTATACGGTAGCATCCTTATATAAACTTTTTCCTTAATTTATTTATTAACTCCAAAAGTATCAGTTATCGAAGATTCTGTATCCACTATCCCGTGATAGATCATAGAAGACATTAGAAAGTAGAAAGTAGAAACTTGAAACTAACTTTATAAAACATTCAACAAGCATAATCACAAATTTGCAGCTGCAAACTTTAAAGTTACAAATTAAAAGTCAATGAAGATTAAAGAGTTCAAAAGTCAAGACAAATCATCATCATTCCTTAAGTCTTGAGAATCTAAATTTCATATCTTAATCAGACGAGTTATCTAGAGAGTCTCCATTTGCATCATCATCATCACTATCATCCTCGGTGGCCTCCACATATTGTTCTTCTTCCTCGGTCTCATCTGAGTCAGCCTTACCTCCTCCTCGACCTCTGGAGTTGATGTGTGACTAGACCCAGCTGTACTCTTTTGTGCCTTAGTTTTAGGCCGTACTTCTTCCTTAGCCCCTATGGCTAGCTCGACATCAAGCCAGGTAAGATCCTCACCCTTGAACACATGCTCTACTCATGGATCCATGGTCCACTCACTTGAGCAATCACCATCAGGTTCATACAATTGAATGGGTTGAGATCCATGCACTTTTGATACCTCTCCTAAGCCTCGTTATGTCACACATAAACCAAATTATCAACTTCTTTTGCTCCAACCTATTTCTTTTTTTGGTAGGAGTAGTGGTACAAAACAAATAAACAAGAAAAAATAATAGATGTTATTTTCTTGTTTCTACTTTTACACTTCTTAGATAAGTTAGGTTTTAGAAAATTGAGATTTGAAATCCAAGAAATAAGGACTAAGGACTTACATGCTCAAATGCACTCCAATTGCGTTCGCATCCAGATCAGCTGCATATGAGACTCAACACTCGAATAGCGAGACGTTTTAGATTTGGTGTCTCACTTCGATATAATGCCCCCCATGCAGCTGTATAACATTTTATAATTTAGATAAATATTTAATTATTTATAAAAATGGAACTATACAAGTAAAAACTGTAAAGAAAACAAAATAGAATGGGCACGTTTGACCTTTACTTGGATTTGTAGTGTCCCTATTTCAAGTAGCAATCTTTCTCTTTAAGTTTCCCAATGCTAACTTGAACTTGATCAATTCTTGGCTCTGGATCTCATCTTGGATATCTTTGTCAGGGACCAACCTCCTCAAGAACATTTAATAACCCATCATTTATTATATGATCAGACTCAATGGTTGGGTGCTTGTAGTGAAGAGATGGATTTAGAAAGTAACTGGCTGAATGGGGGTGCCTGTGAAGCTGATTATCCAATCTCCTATCATAATTCCAACTATAGCCTTGCATTTCTTTTCATCATCCTTTGTAACCTTTTTTACTTCTTCTCCTTCCCAAGTCATTGTCTCATGTTATGTATGTAGCTCATGGTGGGCTTCGCTTCAACATCAATCAATACAAGCACTGTCTCTCACCGAAGGGCTAGCCACCTGATCTCAAGAAGATGTATTGAGAATAATCTGTTAAGCCTTTCACCCGTCCCGATGCTTTGACCACTTACTATTACTCCATTGCTCTGAAGCAAACATGGTTCTCAAGGAATTTCTTTGCTTGCAGAGGCTTTGAAGAGTGAGAAATGATGTGGCAAATCTAGTGAAACCTGGTCTCACTATATCAAACTCCTCATCATGCTAAGGACTATGGTGTGATTATAAATAAATCCAACAACAAACGTAGCTTTTGAAATCACCCTACTATATGTAGATGTCGTACCCTTATCCTTAAGCATGAGATTGACACAATGTGCTGTGCAAGAGTCCAAAACATATGCCTCCTCTTTAGAGTAAAACGATGCCCAACTGTAGCATAATTGGCATCATTGTTAGTGACAATTTGTACCACATGTTGCTTTCGAACAAATTCTACAATCTCATTCATCAAGTCACATAAGTATGTAGCATCATGTGACTTGTCTGATGCATCAACAAACTTAACAAAAGTACATGTTGGGCACTTAACCGATAGTTAATAAATGCCTTGACTTCTCATCAGACCATCTATCACACATAGTAGTTGGCCATACTTCTCCCACCCTTCTCTTTGAGAAATCAAAATTTTTTTAACATCCGACATCCTTCAATAAGGGCTCCCTAATCTCATGTAATGTAGGAGGATTAAGTCCTGGGCCTAACGAAGAACATAGGTTGGACTTTATTAATAACAAGTAAATCCTTCATATGTAAGAAAAGAAGATTCGAGATATTGTGGGGATAAAGATCAATCACAAGGCATGAGACGATCCAAAAAGCGCTTGGTAATGATCCAAATTGTAGGCCTACTTGCGTATTGAGCATTTACTTGTAAGAACTGAATTTCTTGTAATGGATAGTTGCAACTCTTTCTAATTGAATCTAGGAAATCTATTCTCTAATTGCCCAATTGCCTCGCTCCTCTCCTGCAATGTACTTACATACGTTCTTCCTCTCTTCTTTCTTGTATCAATTTTCAATTGCGGTTTGTTTTGTTTTTTTTCTCCTCTCCTGAACCACAATTTCGGAGTCTGGAGTGCAAAATGTATCCATTGGCCCCTTAGAGAGGTGTTTTTTTCCAACACTACCACCAATATTTATAACCCTCTCCCTTGACCTTGGAGTACTCTTTTTCCTCATACCAACTTCTATTGTATCCGCATCATCTTCATCATCATCAAATAATTGAATTTCATCGATTAATTCTTTTCGTTTCATTCTCTTTTTTCTTTTTTTCCTTTTTAAGTTATCCATGTATTCTCTAATCTCCTTTTTAATATCTTCGGTAGCTTGTGGGCATGCTCTTACATTCCCAGAAATACTGGCTA